ACGAGGCATCAATTTGTTCTTATACACTGAATTCTGCATGGCCCTTGCGTAAAAATGTCAATATTGTGTTTGTGCTAGCTGTGTCACGCACAGTAAAGGCCCGTTCACACTCTTGCGACCGAGTACGACTGAGATAGACGAGATCTCTTAAAATTTCTTAAATGTTTTTAGAATGAGGGAACAAACTGGCATTGTGGCGCCATCAATGCGGTGACCCTGGAACTGCATTTCACAAGAGCGAGGGTTTTGCGGGATTTCCGAGGTCAAATGTGTGTAATACCCATAGAAAGGCTCGTTTATAACATTTACAAAAGTTTTTCGAGCCAAGAAAAAAAGGATAATGCGCGAGAAATAAAAAAAAAAATGCCGGACCGCCGACTTTACAATGCTTTCCAATAGATGGCGCCAGTGCGTTCTCTGGTTTAAGAAGTTTTAAGGAACCCAGGTTTAAGAGGTCGTAAGCGGTCGTAAGAGTGTGAACGGGCCTTAATAAGACCAGTCCATTGCTCGATCATTTAAACAAAGCCTTTCATACGCCAAATAGACATTTTGCGAGTACGCTCTATTACTGGTGGTTCATAAAATAATCTACGTTGTTTATTTGGAGGAAAGGAAGTGTTGGTGAGGGGAGGGGGAATGGAATACAAAAGACGACTTTAGGGAAACTCGAACTTTGTAAATATTTTGCAGAACCTTAATCCTGAGTTAATTAAATTACTTTTGCTTTGTCTGTTTCAGAACTTGTTAACAGTCGTGCTAAAGGCCAAGATGAGCGAAAAGTCAGATGCCCGTTTATTTGAGCAAGAAGCGTATATATGCGAGATAGAACTGAAAAAAGCATACGAGCGTAACCGTAGCAATCTCCGACCAAGCCTGAACCACGCTTTTTCTGAAACCACGGAGATGACTGCTTTTGACGACTTGATAAAGCAAGCCAAAGCCGTTAATAAGTGTGACTTGTCAGCTGTGATAATCAAGGCGCTGCGACAATTTCTTGAAACTTTTCATCTATTAAAACAAAATGTGTAATACATCCATTGCCATATTATGCTTGCGCTGATCTTGTAGCGGTATGCGTGCATTACGTGGCACTGTTAGCCCGAACGCGACATCGGCGCTTTTTACTATTTCTGCCCAGCAACATGTATTGTCTAGCACTGAGCTCTGCCACTTAGGCTGGATAGTTGCGTTAACAGTTTTCTAAACATCATTCACTTCTGAGAAAACAAAATTAGAAAGACTGGCGATAGTTTGTCCGTGCTAACTGTGTGGCAGTATACCTAAAATGTCTTTGCAATGACAAATTACAAACGTGTTTCATGTTAAAAAAAATCTGCTACATTTGATTCATTTTTTCTTATTTTTAATGCTTCAAAAATAGTTTAAAGTGGCAGCATGTGGTACAGCACCGATTTAAGCAACGTTGAACTATAACACGACACGCTTCAATAGCCGCACTCGATAAAGAATGCTCACAGAAAGGTTATAGCTTATATATTGTTGCAGGGTACGGTTATCCAAGAGCTAAAGACGATCCACTAAAAGTTTTTAGTATCGACACACACCATTGCTGCCTTCTCACCTCATGTGGTTGTTTGGCTGAGTCAATATAAATGTCGTACACATTTGTTGGCCATCATATAGTGTGAGTTACGCACACAATAATTTGTGCTCGCTGCTAGAAAACAGAGACCTTCTGCAAGATGCCCACGCCTGGTACATCGTTTTCTTTTCCATCGATTCCAATTTGAGGCAGGTTTGAGCGTGATAAGCCGTTTTTTTTTAAGATGGAATGTTTTGTAAAGATGTAAGTCATCCTTACACATTCAAGTCGCCACATCTAGCGCATCTGTTTTGAGCTCCTGGATCAACCGAGAATATCTATGGAACGTTCCTTCAATAGGTGCGGGGATGCATCGCAGCTCCCAAGTATGCGTTTACTTTGCCACGGGCTAAACCAAAGAACTTCTACAGCTCAAATTCAGTGACTGCGAGGGCGCAGCCTTGCATCTCCGTAAAACCTACACCCAAGGGGCTAGGCTTGGCGAGCACCAAAAAATAGGGCAGATTACGCGATAGGAGCTGAAGATACCTGTATGTCACGAGGTCGCTGCTGCTGCACCCATCACCCGTCGCTCAGAAAGGGGATTTTCTCAGCTTATCCTCTCAGAAGAAGCCGGCACACGAGGGGACCTTTCCCCTCGCCTCGCCGTGCTACAATAGAAGAGAGAAAGGGAAAGAAAGAAGGCGAGAAGGACTTTCCGCCAGGCGGAAGAATATTTCTGCTGGTCCCCGTTTAACAGCTTCGCTGTAAAATATTTACAGCGTTTCAAACACATCAGAAATTGAGAAATTTCGCAACTTTAATGTGCAATTAAAAAAAACATCTTCAAAGTTTTTAAAATTTTGGAGGAATCACCCTCTTTACGCTCTCGTAATGTTCCATTAAAAACATGTTGCATCCTTTTGTCTCTGTCAAAAGTAAAACGCTTTGAAATGTACCTGCCCGTAGACATTTTTGCCCAAGGCCATGGCCGCAGTAGCTGCCTTCCAATTTTTTTGTTTAGAACTTCTCACAATGTCCTGTTTTTTTACTGATGCACAAGTCCGAATTATACATCTGGACCACTCTAAATACATTTATGAGGTGCACATAGCTCAGGACAGCAGTTTGAAGCATCAAAGATGCAAACTGTGAGGAGCCCGCTCTTTGTGCTTAATTGTTGCATATGGGCTACTGCACGGTCGCGCAAACTGAAACACAACCCCCCGAACGAGATACTTGGCTCGATAGAAAGAAAACAACACACATAACCAAGAAATTCGCAACCCCAGACATGCAAAAAAAAAAAAGCTCACTTTCAGATGCTGTTTGTCTAAGTAAACTGACGGAGGCGGAAGAGCTGGGCTGGTAGGGTTTTTATGCAAAAATGAATAAATAAATCTGGACGCAGACATGGGGAGACCGCAGCTCCAATTCCAGACTAAAGGCATAGTCATGGATGAAGAAAGAATAAAACAATTAAAACAGGGACAACACAACCACATCTTTCAGTGAAAGATGTGGTTGTGTTGTCCCTGTTTTAATTGTTTTATTCTTTCTTCATCCATGACCAAAACCAACACGCTCTTCTCCCAAGTAAAGGCATAGCTTGCTACACGTTAAGGAATGAAACAAGCATATTGGTAATGTATATACCTTTCAGGAAGGGATAACATAAAGTATGGAAGGGAACCGCTGCTGACTCTAAGATCAGTTAACACTTGACCGCTAAACCTAAGTTGAATTGCGGTTGTTGCTCGGTTGACTATTCGTCGACCAGTAGGATCGGCGGTCACACCTCCACATATGCAGAGAGATTATGGAGGCGTTGAGCATGCATCATTCCAAGGACAAATTCAGTTTCCCCTTGATAAGCCCACCTAGGAAAGAGATTAACTGCCTTCCGTAGCAGCTTCTCTCCCATTCCCCAAACTGTGACGTTGTTCAAGAGGTGACGCTCTCTGCCATGGCTTCTACCTTCACCCTTTCCACCTCCCCTTAATGTCACGTACATACAATACAAACTCACGGAGAAATAAATGTTGTTGCTTGTTGTAAGTTTTGTCTGTCTGTCCTGTATGTTATCCCTTCCTCCAGTGTAATGAAACACTAAAGTGCACAAAGCTATACCCCCCCTCCCCCCCTTCCTTGACTTGTCAACTCCGCCGCATTCATAATCTACACCACTTATCTCGGTGGCGATTATCGTCAGCTATGTTACCGAGTCCTTTCTTATTTGCCGATCAGGGGCATTTTCCTTGAGCATCGAGTGCCAATATTTATTTATTCATTCATGTAAAAATGCATAAAAACCCTACCAGCCAGGCTCTCCCAGCACCGTCAGTTTACTTAGGTGAACAACATCTGAAAGAGTTTTTTTTTCCTTTTGTGTGTCTAGGGTTGGGAGCTTCTTGTTTATACATGTTTTCTTTCTACAGAGCATAGTATCTCATGCAGAGGGTCATGTTACAGCTCACGCGACCTTGCAGTGGCCTAGGCAACAATTAAGCACGAAGGGCAGGCTCCTCACAGTTTGCATCTTTTATGCTTCGAACTGCTGTCCTGAGTGAGCTACGTTCACTTCATACATGCATTTAGAGCGGTCCAAATGTATCATTCGGACTTGTGCACCAGCAAAAAGACATTGTGTGAAGTTCTGAACAAAAAAATTGGAAGGCAGCCATTCAACCATGGCCTTAAGCAAAAATGTCCACGTGGGAGGTACATTTCACAACGCTGTACTTTTGAAGGAGACAAAATGATGCAACATGTTTTGAATGAAATATTACGAAGGTGTAGATGAGTGTCATTCCTCCAAATTTTTTTTTTTTTACGTTGAAGTTGTGAAACTTTTTAATTTTGGATATTTTGAAGCGCTGTGAATATTTTGAATTATAAACTAGACCATCAATTTATTTTTTGATAAACGACACTTTTGTGAAGGACATATGAAAAAGATCTCAGTTTAATATCCTTAAGACATAATGAGTCACAAAAATGTTAGAGCAGTCAAATTTGTTAATTTTTTATCTGTGATATATAATTTTTAGAATTCTGTAAACACTCAAGAATACAGTGACTATAATTTACTGCTTCTTGAAAAATATACAGTTATCGTTTTTTTTTTTAATTTGCTTTGACATGCAGTTAAACGTGACAGAACCAACAAAGCCCTGAAAATACGGTGTTGCTGTATGGAAGCAGTCAAGTTTCTTTTTTAGAAAACATTTATGATATTGTTTTTTCTATATATTGGGGAGTAGCAGATAAAAATATGAAGAAAAACAAAAATGCTAACTGGGGACACATGCTTAAACTTATCTGAACACACCCCAAATACAATTATTTAATCTAGCTGATGAGAGCCAAGGAATCAGGATTGAGATTCAACCCACTGTCATCACTCTCATTTAGTCTTATGGCCACTCACTCCTCAGTGCCTCCATCTTCGCAGGCGTCACTTCTTTTTTGGCCTTGGAGCCTGGCTTGTTCCGACAAGCTGTTCCGGTGACGCTTCTTGACGCCAGTTCATCATCTGTCCAGAGGGACCGGGACAATCCAATAACACATTTTGAGTCAGTTTTGGCCAATAGCGCCAAGTTGAATTTTGGCTCCGGTATGGAGACACCTGGGCTAAGGTGCACCTGCAAAACACAACACATGCACAAGCTCACTTCTCATTTTCGGTTCATCTTCCAGAACCTCCTTAAAAACTGTATAATTGCAAATCTTGTACACAAAATATCATGACAACTTACCTGGCCATCAATCACTTCAAACAGCTTCGGTTCCACGACCGGATGGACATTTTCCAGCCTTTGTTCGGGCACTGTTAACATAAACATCATTGGTGAGAGACAACTAGAAAGCAGTTCTTCACACTGACATTGCATTCACTAAATATACAGTGTGTTTTTTGTTGAACTAGAGATTTTCTAAAAAAAACATGAAAGTTACGTAATTGCAGTTTGCGTTGTTATACACGAACTCAACTTTCCTACGTCACGCCGCAGAGGTGGCGCGTCGGGCCCATTTTTGGTCTGGGGCGGTGGGCAGAAGTCGCCGTGCGAGACATGCATTCTGGTGTTCGTTTCGGAGAAACCACACGAAAAACCTGCGTTCTCGTCAAAATGCTGCGACGGGGGCTGTACCAAAAGAGTCTGGAAAGGTTTGAAGATCAGTTTTCATGTGTTTCTGCCCGCTCCGTTCGTCTGAGTGCGTGGATAGTAGCAGTGAAAAGGGTAAGCGAGACGCTGTCGAACTACGATTGCTTGTGCGGGCAACACTTTGTGGTCGCCAGATGTATTTGTTTTGTTCCAACATGAACGAGAGAAAACCGCCAAGTTGTCCGGGCCACCCGCGGGTTCAGTGCATTTTCAAATTCATACGGCCGCCTGATCGTTCGAACTTTCGTCTGCTCTTTAGAACTTGTCTGCTTTTTGTCGTCAGCTCGTTCAAACGACAGCGGCGCGTAAACCAAACGTTGACCCGGTAATTGCGATAAGAACTAAGCGCAGGCCTGAAAACACATTTGAAGGTTCGTTGGGGTAAGTAGGCTAAGTGTAAACAGTAGATACAAGAAGATGTTGATCATTGTTACCAGTGGCCATCGCCGATTTGTAATGCCAGATTCTGCTTGCAGTTTTCAGTATCTACGTCCACCATATCAGCTGCGGTCCACACTTTTGCAGTCCGAGCGACGTCGCGACTGAAGATAGCGAGCAGAATCTTATCGTGCGAGTCGGGCTGTAGCGCCCATTCTGCGGCGTCCACGTGAAATGAATCGCCGCAAGTAACATTATTCACGCAAAGTTTTGCCTCGTTGATTTTGCTGAAGCCGCTCAAGTAGTCAGACATTGTTAGGAGGACGTAGAATCGACAATTCCAACGCAAAAAAGAGCAAGGGGGGCTCCCACCGACGCCGAAAACAACGCAATTCAATGGTTTGTTTATGGGCGACGGTGGGCTTTTTGCCCACCGTCCACTGCGCATGCGCGGCGCCAGTGGCGTCTTCTAGGGGTGCTCCGGTTTGTTTGTAAACATGTTCGAGAAAGCAGCTAAAAACCGGGTATTTACCTCAAATTCACTCATGAACTTTTTTATAATTTAAAGAAAAAGGTTTCTATTAGAATGTTGTTGGGCACCATCGAAAACCCCCTAATCACCTATTTTTTGAAAGACGTAACGCATGTACACCCTTTTACGGCGTCCTGAAAAGCCTCCTAACTTAGGCGTGAAAAAGTAGTTCTGATGTGTTACTGACTATGATCTGCGCGTAACGCAGCCCCGCTTTGAGCAGCCAAAGCGACGAATCACGCGAATCGTCATGACAATGCCTCCACATAAGGGAAGAGCTAAGGTGACGCAGCTCCCTTTACCAGGATTGCGACGGCCGAAAAAGATTGTGGCAACGAGATTCACATCCAAGTTAGGTGGTTTTTCAGGATGCCTTAAACTGCTTCACGCATGTTATATCTTTATCAAAGCAGGCAATTTGGAGGTTTTCAATGATGCTCTGGGGGATCGGTGGTCCTTAGGACATCAATATGCAAAAATGGGCCCTCGGCATATTTTCCAGAATGTTAAAAAATTGTGGAGTGGGCGCTTATTGTGGAATAAGCGGATGTTCGGTATTTTAGAGCAATTCGTCGTCCTCTCACCCACCGGCACACTTCAAAAGTCACTTGTCCAATTCAATAAAAAGCAAAGCAATTTTGTTCACTGCCTTTTGAATGCCCATGAAACAAGATTCAGACTCCTTTCTTATATGAAACATGATAGACGAAATCCTGCCTAAGCTCTCCTGCATTTTTTTTTCCTTCTAAGCTACACATAGCAGAAGCTATGAATAGCTGAGCCAATTCAATGCAAATTGGGAGCTACGTGACAGCACCCTCAGTGTATTTCCTTGCGCAGGCAGAGAATGCTTTAGTCGTCTGTCACAAGCAGCAAGCTACTTACAAACTAGAGCCACTGTCTATGTTCCTGAAGAGAGCAGAGCATTCACTTGATCTGAAAACTTGCGCAGCAAATAAGCGAGTCAGACCTTGACGGTGACCGTGCCAGCCGCCCCTACAACCGTTGCCAGTGATGCTCGTGCAAATAAAAGTAGATGTGCCATTAAAGCGCAATATTAGGCAAGGCACTCTCAGCTACCTTTTAAGTCAGTTTGTCTGCAGTAAAGTTCATATTTGTAATCTGTGCACTTTTCAGACTGCTCTATTATTCATATGCTAACTTATTTGTACAGTTTTTGCGACCTGAAATTTTCTCAGCACTGCATGGCTGCAATGTGCAGGAAGGCCTACAAGTCTCCAATGTCGTTACCTTGCATTTCAAATCTGATCAAAACAAATCAGTTCTATTTTTGCAACAGAACATCCTTCCTCACATAGCAAAGAGCATTGGCACCTTGCTAAATGAGATAACCTTCAGTTCAAACTCTGCATTACTAAAGCTTTGGTTCCCCTTGAATTTGAATGCTCGGGACTGCACTGTAATGGCACTCGCAATCCCATCAGTCTGGTCCCTTCAGGAGCATGTGAAGTGGTTGCTATCAGGCTCAGTTAATGCAAAAAAAGTAACAAATTGATTTTTGCATTGTTTGAACTTCCCGCACGAGGTCATGTGGCTGTGATGCCATGACCCTATCGATCAATCAGGATTTTCGCATCACGCAGCCGACGTCGGCTTTTCTGGGACGCGAGCTCCTTAACGCTGTCGTGTTAAGAAGCACTGCTTTTGATGCATCGCACAAGATAAATGCTTACCAGGTGGCAAAGGCTCGTGCAATATTACCGCTGGCTCGTGCAGTACTACCGCTGGCACAGACACTGCTGGAGCTGGCGGAGCTAGGGAAGCAGCCTCCTCCTGGTGTGGCCCTAAAAGAAAAGCAGTGGCAGACATAGCATAGCATTAGAGTGTGCTTAGCAATAACATCCAGAGCTGGCATACACCTACCCAAAGCCAAAGCCAAAAGTCCTACAACAATCTCAGCACACTAGCTCAAAATGGTAACTGTCGGGGCACAAGGTTTGTACAGTGGCAGAGCCCAAGTTAAACTTGGCATAAGTTGCACAGGGAGGACGATGAGCAAAAAGAAAACTATGAAAGCGTCAACAGCACGGGAAGGCAATCCAAAGAGAGAGCAGCCAGAAGACGGAAGCAGCGGAACTGTGTTTTTAGAGTTCCCGGAGTGCGGGCCGGGACACTTGGATAAAACAGCAGCAGGTCTCCCGTAAAATACCGGACAAGCGCCCACTCAAAATTTCGAGATAATTGCGAAAAAATAGGGGATGGGCGCTTTTCCGGTCATCAATTTTACATATCAATCTACTGTGCACACTTCCTCAGATCTTAGAAATTTTGGAATGGGCGTTTAATGTGGAATGGGCGGATGCACGGTATGCTACGATAATTGCAAAGAAACAATTATGCACGTGCACGGCACCACTTCTTGCTTTGATTAGGCAGGCTCTAGCAAAGAGATGCTTTTCTTATGCATACAAGAATATCAGGTCAAGACAGAGACCATTGAAAAGATGCACAAAGAAATATGGGTATAAATGTTGAGGTCATTTTTACTGGAAAAACTTAAAGGGATTGTGCAAAGAAAATAGATATGAACAGTCTTAATTTTATAAAATTGATGAGGCCTCAAAGATCCCAAATCCCAAATATCCCGTCCACATTTTATGAACAGTGTTTGAAAAAGTGTTTCTTGGGGTGCCTGGAACGACTATGCGACATCGTTGCCCAGCTGGAGCAACAAAACGTCACAATAAGACCTGTGTAAAGTTGAGGATCTACTGTACCTTATATTGTGTTCCAATAATAAAAAGTAAGTTATGAAAATAGTGAGGAAGTTACTGCCGTTCTAAAATTAATTCGGAAGTTCTATATCACGTGATTGCAGGTAAGTTTCGTTTTCAAACACATTCGAGACTTCCGTCGCCCGGGAACCATAGCAACGTCGGCTCCTCCCCGCTCCTGTCGCCCTGTCGTCTGCTTGCCACTGCGCATTTTCTGTGCGCGGCAAGTTTAGGTTTATTAACGAAAACATTTGGGGCTAGTTGGTAAGTAGACATGATAAAAACAAAACAGCGCAGAGACAAAGACGAAGTAGAAGAAACAACAGGACACAGCGCAGTGCTGTGTCCTGTGGTTTCTTCTACTTCGTCCTTGTCTTTGCGCTGTTTTGTTTTTATCAAGTTTAGGTTGTTGTGTGTGCTTGGCGTCGTTGGCGTCTGTTGTGTGCGCGCTTCAGCAATCGCCATGCTGACCGTGTGTCTTGTGAGAGAGTGCAACACGAGGTATGGTAAAACGAACGACATTCGTTTCCATAAGTTACCGGACGATCCACAACGAAGAGCGGCCTGGCTTCGAGCCATTGACCGCGAATCTCGCTGCTCAGAGCTCGCCCCGTCTTCGCTGTCGCCGTCGGATGGTAAGCGGTCTCGTACTCCTCGGAGGGGTGTGTCCGCGTAAATCACAAAGCTGGGAAGTCTGCTTCGCTCGATTAATCGACGCTGAAGCTCGGGGAGGGCAAGCCAATCGGACATCTTGCATCTGAGAAACATATCTGGTTCGCCTTTGACTTCTACGCGCGACGTCAGAAAGGAAAACTTCCCGATTGGCTGTCTTGATGTGACGTAGCCGTAGAATTCAGAGGGAAGCTGACCAGGAAACCGAAATTGTCCTTTTACGCTAATAAATTAATCCGGACGATAAAACAAATGCGCATTGGTTACCTAATAGAAGACCGGCAATCAAAATATCGCACATAGCGCAAATTTTTTAAAAACATTTCCCGACCCCTTTAACAGTTTTATTGCTTTAACAAGTCTGACTTGAGAAAAACCAGAAACTGCCAAAAGCTTACATGTTTTATCGTTACTTTAAAATCTGAGCCCTCGTAATATGGTACACCCCTTGGCAGTCTAAAAATTTTGATCTGAAACTATATGCACTTCTAAGTGCTACCGTAAAGCCAGTGTCCAGCACAAAGTTTGGTTGAAAATTGCAAGATAGAAGAGCACATGCCTCCGTCATTCGAGGAACAGCCTGGTGATGATGGCAGCATCGCGGCCGAGGAAGGATGTGGGGGCTCTTGCTGCATCTCCACAGGCAGGCTATCCGGCGCTGAAATCAAACAAAGAAAAGCACAGTTCTTTCTTTGCTTTTTACATGAGTGAGCACCCAAAACATACATGGCAAGGCACCACGGGATGCAGCAAGGCTCTCCACCACGGCAGGCGTCGCCGGCTGGTACGGCAGGGAACCTGAGGTCCGTAGCAGACAAGCATTCTCATTTGACAATTTTGTGTAGACTATTCAGCTATGGATGTTTACTGATGACCCAGCATGACACTGGCCTTTGTACAGAGCCAGAGGAGGCTCTGAAACAATTAAATACACACAAACTAAAACACTAATGCGATGCTGTGTTGATTCAGGGAAGGTCCTCAAGCTGGAGAATACTATACTGGCAAGAGCAAAATAATCCATCCACCTTTGCAAAGCATACTGCAAAGGTGGATGGATGGGTTTGTAAAGCATACTTAGCCCCACGTCCTTAAACGCCACTGGCACCCCAAAATTCAAATTTATTTGATTGCTCCAGAAGTTTCAGGATAGCGTCGCAAACGGACGCCTCCTCACTTCTTCACTGCGATGACGTCAAGAATACAACATTTAACAGCGATATTCGGGAAACATATTTTTTAAGGCTATTTCGAACAAACCTTGCCCATTGTTTCGAAATTAATGAAATCAGAGCCGGGAGGTGTTAGTGACAACCTCAGTCATCTCTTTCCGTTTTCTCCCCAACTCCCCACGGTCATTGGAAAAGGTAGCCTAAGAGAGCGAGGAGTTGCCAAGTCACCATGGAATGTGGATCTGCAGAGGCGGAAAGAGCATAGGAATGATGGCAGAGATAAAAGAAACAAGGCGTCCGAGCTCGGCGCTCGGTGGGGATATGCGCCATCGATGCGCCCATTGATGCACAAATAATTAGTTCCCAAGCCTCAGATTTTGAGGGTGATGTTAAAGGGTAACGGCAAAGAAAAATAGATTTTTTTTAAACAGCCTAATTTGGACAAGCATGTCAAAAAACAATTTTTCCGCGGGAAAAAAATTTTTTACAGCAATATTTATTGCGTGAGACCGATTTTAGTTTGCGGCTACTTCGTCCGTTTTAAATCGCACGCCATAAAGTTGGTGTTCTGCGACGCTTAGCTTCGATTGGCTGCTATACTTCTCACTGGATAAGAGGTTGATTGACAGCTTAGATCTTGGTTGTTAAACCTTTGTTATATAATGTAATCTCCTTTCGAGCGGCATATTTTTACGTTTAAAGAATAACCCATGTGATGAGAGTTATTAATCTTTACAAAAGGTTTACAAGACGGGCACTTCCGTTTGGATTCATACCATAACGAACAAAAGCTTCGCCATTCTTTCATGGCCGCCGAAGTCTCTACTCCTGCCTGTCTCGCCTACCTCGACTAGTCGTTTTGCCCAAGTGATCAGTGTGTCGTGCTGACCCAGGTGCTTGAGTGAGACTTCTTGAAGTGAAGAAGTGTGTGTTTAGCAGCTGTCGCAGGTGTTAGTAGTGATAGGAAGAGACGCGGGGTTTTGGCTTTCATAGTGCGGTTCTTTTGTTTTCCTCTTTGCTGGCCTAGCGTGTTTTTTTTTTCTTTTTTTCTTTTTTTTTTTTGCTGGCACGTGCAAATGCTGGCTTTTTAGAGATGCCCGATGAGTGATTTCGACAGCGAGCCTTCCAGCAGCCATGTCGCCCCGAAAGGAATGCTCTTTGGCTGGAGGCAATCGAGCATTCGCGTAGCGACAAACATGCCCAGTTACGTTCTCGTCATATCGCTCCGGAAGCCGTAGACTAGACACAGCTATTATATAAAAAACATGGCACAACGTATTAGCTGTCTGCAGAAGCCTTCGGACGTCCGAATTCTGCGTTAGCAGACAGATTTTTTTTCTCGGCTTCCGAACCAACTTAAGTAAAGTTGTTTGAATGAATGTGTACTGTTATCGCAAATCTTGGCTAGTGATTGCGGCTCTGTAGATTATCTTATTTGTTTTGCTGAAAAGACGCAAACGACGGGCATAACAAAATCGGTTGCATATTCCGCGTACCTTGCAAAAGCACTTCCTTAGTCACCTTGCGAAAAGTGCGAAACACGGAGTCCGCACCGTCCCGACTTCCCAGTCCTTTACCTGCTTTAGAGCAGTTTGTACCTGCTGGCAGCTAGCACGTATGTCTACTGAAACTGCAACTTGAAACTAGGGGCAGTGCCAGAGAGTAAAGAGACAAAGTCAAATATGGAGAGGTTCTGACTTCCGACTAAATTACGTCCCGTGACGTAAATATTGCTAAAAAAAATTTTTTTTCCCGGAACATTTGTTTTGTGACATGCTTCTCACAATTAGGCTGTTAAAAAAACACTTTCTTTTCTTTGCAGTTACCCTTTAGGCATCATTTTCAGTCGCATGAGCCATTAAAAAAAAATTACATTTTGGGGTGTCCGTACTTTTTTAAGTAGGACAGGCAATTTACCTGCAATATTTGCATATTTCGTTAAGGCATGTGAAATTATCAGCACCTGCATTTGATGGTAGTGCCACCAGCTCCTGTAGCACACCTTGAGAAAGACCTATAACCAGAACAAACATTTAAATAAATAAGACACAAAAGCCACAGTTACAGTATACAACAGAAGTAAAAGACACAGGAAGAGGACTGGCACGGACAAGTGTCTGTACCAGCCCTGAACTCGACCCCACCCTCTGGCAGCACGCGAGGCGAAAGGAAACTATTGTTACTAATCTTACCTGCAGTAGAAGTTGATGGCAACGAAATAAATTCCGCCACCACAGCTCCTTCAAGGGGGGTTTGGCAGCAAGGCTTTTTGAGTGCCCTATCCCTGGCGATTTCTGCCCAACAATACAAGAGAGTGTTGTTACTGAGAGTCGCACTTCATTGTTCTCATCCGGGTGCAAAACGTATACACACCAATCTTGTCAAGTAGAGCCAGGTGAAGGCGCTTGCAGGTTGCTTCAGACTTGCGGAGCTTCGCTTTTACTATCTTGAGCTCCTCTTCCTTGGCTCGCAACAGCTCCTTGAGGTCCAATTCTCCATCTCCCACCACATTTTTCTCACAACTTGACATGGCTGTACTGGGTGCAGACTCCTGGATATTAGGAGCAATAATTAGATGTAAAAAAAACATGTTGAGCAGCACTGATGCTATAAACTTAAGGTTCTGGTTTTGTGTTGCTGCTTTGGCAACTACAATCATGAAATAACTGCATTAGCCTGTTTCCTTACCACTGCTGCTTTGCCATTTCGGTTGAAAGTTGACAGAATGCTTGAGAGCTGAGCATGTTGGGCCTCCGCCTTCCTCTTCCGCTTAAGTTGCCTTGCATCCTATTGATTGCAATAGAATTCGGTTATAATACCAAAAGAAAACGGAAATTTGTAAGATTACCTTGCTTGCAACAGAGGGATTCTTGGATGGCTGGTGTGACTTGCTCAAAATATTCCGTGGCAAAGGTGACCTGCCACGCTTCAATGTCATGTGCAAACTATCCAAGGTCTCTGAAAAAAAAAAAAAAGATGACATATCAGTTTGATCTACCCGGACTTTGTACCAGGCTAGTTTAACTTCAGTCATCCGAGTGCTGCAAACCTGATTGCACATCACAAGCGCCGGATTCGGCAAAGGCAGGTGTCTGGTATGCATGGTCTCTAGCATCTCTAGCGGACGTCTCTAGCAACTATATACAAACATATACCTTTGATTAAAACAGTTTCTCGCTACCACCGCTAGGGGATTCTTTTCGGCTTCTGATTGGCCAAAAGAGCATGTCAAGCCCACTTTCTGCGTCTGGTGCACGCCCTGGCTCTGCCCGCGCCTCCCATTGACCAATATCTCTGTATACGGCTTTGCACTCTGCTACGCCACCGCTTCGGAAGCTCGTTGTAACCATTCGATTTATACGAGTTTGGCGTCGTGCGTATACCCATTTCCGGTCGAGGTGGGCGACATAGTGCAAATAGCTTTACTCTTTTAAAAATGTTTCATGAACGTCATGTTTCACCCCGCGTGCGCCGTTCCGCGATGGTTTTAAACAACCCTGAATTAATTTCAGCTATCAAAATTCTATGCACAGGCCACTGAAGCGGCTGAGGTGAGCAGGGGAGATTGGAGTTGTTGCAATGTCAGCTTTCACTTTAAGTCGCGCATTGCAAGAGGAAAGCGGTTCACGCTGATACAATGCGAAACAGAACAGCCCACGATCTTATGGTGAATTCCGCTCGCAGATCTCGAGCACTCCAAAAGCGCCCCCTTTTGAGCGTGCATATTCCACTTGCAGATCTGGCTCGAGTTGGCCGTCCTCCGCTCTAAGATCTCTGGCAGCACCCGCTCCATGGAGCGCCTCCAACCCCGCCGAACTTGCTCCGCGGGATTTCACAGATCTATCCAAAACTTGACCGAGCGCATACATAATTTCCTTTTTAACTGGACAGTGCGCATGCGCGGGGAGGTTGGCGAGGTCGGCGGACCGGTCCGGTCGATCGGGCCGTCAGGTTGGATCTGTTTGGATGCATTGGTTGTTTACGCAGGATTGTGACGGCTCGAATGCTTCTACATCCCATGAATCAGGTATACAAAGCCGGGACTGGAGCGTGGTAAATCGTAAGTGCTGACATGCGTGATCGTGAGAGGAAGAACGAGAAAAAGAACGACAGAAAATCTGGAGGCAGACGCAAGGTTAGGCCTGCTCATTCTGCAGCCAATGATTGTTTACCTTTTTACACTGCATGCCGCCGGCGTTTCCTCGTGCAATAAAGCAAGAACAGATTAGGCAGCGACCGTGCATGTGATGGTTTGTTACCTCATTGTGTTTATTCAAGTCATACCAGCAATCTGAACTCCACTTATGGCAATCGCTGTGCGTGCCCCGCAGCGTCGAGGCGGCCAAAAGGTATTTGACGGTGGCGAACGCGGACGTCTACCTCGTTATTCGTGAAACGGGCTCCACGGTACGGACATTTTCGCCCGGCCCGTGTCGCGTGTTATTTCTGCAGCTAAACAGTGACAGTTTTCACTGGTCGTCGGAAACATCAGTCAGCTGAGGCGTTGGTGGGCTTGCCAAGCTCGAGCAGAGGCCATTTGAACGACCGAGGGGGAAGCGGGGGAAAATGGGAGTTTATCTTCCCCTCGTCGATTCTGAGCGGGTCCCACGGAGCGGAATCTCGCCTCCCTCGCGGATCTTGGAAAGCGCTCCGGATCTACGAGTGGAATTCACCATTGGACTAATCGGCGACCCGTGCGTACGCGAGCTATAACGGCATCTGGGTTGGAAAACAACGCTCCTACCATGAAACTGCGACCGCCGGCACTACAAACAACGGGAATATCGCAAACCCGAGATGCCGTGCCGGCCAAATGTCCACTTCGTTCGAAGAAAGGAAACAATAGAGCGCGGTAGATGGCACCGTGCAACATACGATAGTAAAGCCCCTTGATAAAAGCGTTTTTTACAAGTACCGCCAACCATTGTTGTGGAAGCGCGCCAGACACGTGCCATGAGCGGGTGCTCCGCCGCCATTCTCTTCCAAGGCCCGCTCATTTCCGTGCTGCGCCGCCATTTGCTTCCAAGGGCCGCTCGAGACATGGGCCTCGTGCACTTGCGCATTTGACGCTACTTGCAAGACAAACGCAAACACATCGAGGGGCTTTATACGATAGCACACTTGGGAAATTTAATACGTCCGCATGCTTCAAATAGTCTACCACAGTAACTTATTAAAGGAGCAATGCTATCACTTACCTGCCATTTCGTTCACGAAGGCTGGGTAGTAGCCTTCGTCTTCACCATCTTCGCCACGCCAATACGCCTGTACCCTAGACAACTTGTCGAAGTCGCCTGGTGTCTCCGGACTGAACTCTTTTATCAGTGAAACAGGAAGAATGGCACGTTGCCCGTCCTGCGCGTACCGAACGTACGCGAACATGCTGACGAACTACGAGCAGTACGAGGTTCAGAAAGACAAACAACGTAAACCACGTAAACAAACTAAAGTCGCTGAAGTAACAAAGCGACAAGCTGTGCGGATTGAATTGGCTTGGCTAAACAAATAAAACATTTCTGAATTGGCTTACTTCGACGATGTCAACGCGAGTAGTAAACGAAAAACTATATCCATATACACTAAATATTTTTTTTTCTTTAGTAGTCATTATTTTAACCATATATTTGCTACGGCAGCTTATATTTGGCTCAACAAGCACAAACGCATCATCATCAACAAGCATAATTTGTTTATCGACATAGCAGTTGGGCAACGCTGGGTGCGGCAGTCTGCTCGTTTCATCGCATTCGTGCTCTTGGATCCACGCTCACTAGCAGTGCTCTCCGCATTTCACGTCATTTTCTTAAAAACTTTGTACTTTGAATCGCTGCACGCGATGTGTAATATCACATTTCGTTAATTTCAATAGCAATATGACAAGCCTTCCGTCCTATAAGCGACGGAAGCGGTACCTTGATGTGGGCGAAGAATTGCTGATTCCCAAGTCGACGTATTACCGCCGGCTGAAAGAAATAGGAACTTTAGATTCGCGGACTCCGATATCAGAACCGAGTTCACCAAAAATATCTGACGACTCCAACATTGGTGGGGATCTGGAGAGCGAAGACGAGCAAGAGCCGATCGACTCCGATAGCAGCCAAGATGTATACGCGTCGTCCCCGGTGCCGCCAGAATTTGCGATCGACTACGGTAACAGCCAAGATCTGTGCGCGTCATCCCCAGTGCCGGCAGAAAGAAGCGTCAATGAAGACCCGATGAGCGAGTCGGCGAGTGATCGCGACTTTATCGCGACGTCTGACGATGAGCGCAGCGCGGCCAGCGACTTCGACGAGGAGCCGCCCGACTTCCAGCCAGGGCCAGTGTTCGAGGACATACTCTCGTCGTGCTTCGAACAGTTCGGAGCGGAAAAACGGCCGAACACGGAGACGACCAAGGCAGGAGCGATTGCCATGGTAATGTCATTTATTGCAGGAAATGGCTTAACTTGGACTGCGCTTGGGCAGTGTGTCTGCATGATTAATACCATTTTCGGCAAAGATGTCCTGCCTCAGACGAAGTATGTTTTTCGGAAACTCTGGGCTGGCAAAACTAAGGATCTGGTTAACTACCACTACCTCTGCCCAAGTTGTGAGGGCATGATGAAGATGGAAGGCGCGGCAGGACACTGCGAAGTCTGCCAGCAGAAGGTAACTCAAAAGAAGCTAAGGGCGCAAGGCTCATTTTTCATGATGCTGGACATGGAAAAGCAAGTCAAGTTCCTTATTGGCAAGACCAAGGATGCCCTCGGGGAGAACCTGCTCCGACCTGCTGCAAGCCCCGATGACCCCATCACAGACATCACCACGGGCAAGGGATACCGAAAGATGCGTGAAGAGGCGAAGTTGGCAGTTGATGACTTGACGCTGACTATCAACACGGATGGTAGTCCCGTCTTTGAGTCCTCAAAGACCTCTGTCTGGCCAATCCAGTTCGTCATCAACGAGCTGCCACCTCATGTGCGCTTCAAGCACCCAACCCTTGCCGGCCTCTGGTTCGGGAAAACTCACCCAAATATGCAGACTTTCATCGGCACATTTGTGGAAGCAGTGAACTCCATGCAGCCCGTCAAGTGGAAGCATGGGTCCCACCTGTACCAGTCCAAGGCCTTCGTCCTCTGCTGCTCCGTGGATGCCCCGGCACGAGCAGCAGTTCAGAACGTGGTGCTGTTCAACGGTTACCATGGCTGTCCATGGTGTCTGATCACGGGCGAATACCGTGAAGGTAGGGAAAAATTATATTTATACGGCGAGCAAGTTGTCTTCTCGTGGAGAGGGTAGAAGAGGTGCCAAGAGTGACGTCACGATGCCGCGTTCTGATTGGACGATGCTGACATGGAGAAACATAGCTTTGTTGTCTGCTAGTCATAGCAGTGACTGCCCTGCCTGCCTTGCCTGTCAGAGATCTACCGATTCTGTATGGACTAAGACTCTATCTTCGTCAAACGGGAGGGGAAATAGCTCGAAGGGCATTCTGAATTAATTGATTTATGCTCTGTGCGCTAGGGTGTAGTGGAACGGTAAAGCCAAAATCTGTTTGTCATATTTCAAAGTTTGACACAACTGAACTGTAAAATAAGGGGATGGGAGAGTAACGTAACTATTGACACCTCCCCTACCCTCTCCGTGAGAAGCACACAACTTGCTTGCTGTATTGAGTGAACAGACCTGTATAGCAATGATTTGGGTGGCCTGCAGTAATGAGACGGACTTGTATGCAACGCTTTGGATTAATTAAAGTTGTCTCTCACAGGGAGCATGCGCTACATCGCTGATGAGCCTCCAGCTCTCAGGTCATCAGCTATGGTTTCCCGCGACATGCAGCTGGCACTGGCATTCAAGGATAGTGTCAACGGCATCAAAGGCCCTTCAGCAATGATGAACCTCCCAGGTGTGTCCCTTTTTGCTGTTTATCTACCCCGAGTGTCTTTTTAAGCACAAAATATGTTTGTGGGCTGGTTTCAGCACTTATACACCGACGCTTTGATCTCACTTTGAACGGTCCGAAAAAATTGGTTTCTCAATGTATTTGCAGGAATTTCGTACAGAGGTGCGGCTAGGTGGTGCAAGCATGGAGTCAGCGCGATATTGATATTTCCAAGGTGGTGCCTGTCCCTAGCCCATATTTATGCTGAAAGATCGGCGCTAAAATTTCGCTTCCGTGCCCCTTAAAACTGATGAACTTTCCTCGTTCACGAAAGAAAAATGAAAAACCTGTCTTGGGCGATCTACAGCGCCGTTTTGCAGGTGACGCAGACGGTGCTTGTTCACTTGAAGACGCTGCCAACAGAGGGTGCAACTGCATCGAAAGAATGCGGGGTGATCTAATTCGGGTTTTGATAGCACATGACTTAGCGAAAGTTTCTCAGTTGTGCCATTGTCGGCGGCGTCTCTAAGCGAACAACCACCGTCTGCGTTGCCCGCAAAATGGCAGCGTAGATTGCCCAAAACAGGTTCTTTTTTTTAATATTTCTTGAATGAGATAAGTTCATCCGTTAATATTTTAACTCTATGCTTGCACCACCTAGCCGCACCTCTTTGGTAAATTCCAGCAGGGTACGTTGAGAAACCGATTTTTTCGGACCGTTCAAATCGATATTGAAGAGTTGGTGTACATACTGTAGTGACACCTTCCTGAATCCTGGGAAACGAAAGTCTGCAGCGGAAGGATGTCGTTTGAGACAGAAGTCGATCAGACAAAATGTTAATGCCTTAAAAGCTCTGGAGAAGGCGTAGATTGAACCGGGGTCTTTCGTGTTGTGAACCTGATGCTGAATTAGCGGCGCTAATGGAGGGCACAAGGAAAGCGAGCTCGATATGTCATCTCTCAGCTGCTGACAGTTCCGAACGCACTGATCTAAAGTAAAGTTTTGTAACTTTGAGTTTAAGAGCCTACCGCATCCAGTGCTGCTCTGTCTGTGTTGTCGCTTGATAGGGCCCACTGGGGTAGCTAGGATACAGTGGAATAAGGTTTCAAACATTGTCACACTCACTCAGATGGTGCAAGAGTGTGCATGAGCAACACCACCTACACTCATATCACCTCAAGAAAAAAGTATATTTTGTGCATGATCCCTGTGCTGCACAAAGTAATTCTTACAAGAGTTGGTTACCAAAAAAAGAAACAAGGCTCTTTTGCATTTGCAATGTGCACAATTTGACAAAATGACAAATACCTCGTTCTGTATGTACCATTAGTATTTTAACCTCACCACGTAAAAGAAGCTAATATCGCTCCGCAAGATGCCTCCCTTTTTCATTATAGTTCTTGAGCGGGAAATGAGTATAGACAAGCTTCAAGCCTCACCGCTGAATTTTCAGTGGCACCTAAAATATGTTGGCACAGGGCCCACATTGAACATGAGCGCCACGCCAGCATTTGGCTTAAACTCATATTGCCGCATGTGTGTCGCGGTCGACAGGTGGTATAGCACCTGACTATCACGCAGAAGTCCCAGGTTCGAATCCCGGGACTGGATAACATTTTTTGTTAATTCGTAAAACCTGTGGTTCTCGAAAATTGGAGAATCTTGTCATTTGTTCTAGATCAGAATGTTCTAGTGCCAAATATTGTGGTAAGAACGTTCCAGAACATGAAGTGGCTATAAAAGAAGCTCTGCATGGCCGTACGAATTCATTCCATTGCCAGCTTTGATCCTGCTGTTATGCCGAGATTCGACGCCTGCGACGCCCTGTTATCCCTTTTAATTTGGGCAAAAGTTCGCCCCCATTAAACATTCATTTTCTTCACTCATGTTTTGCCTCGCCACTATTTATTAGTGACAATATTCTTACTGATTAGTCTGGCCCGGATATATAAGCACCAGAAACGTTCAAAATAGGCAGGTATTTAGGCTCCAAAACCCCGATATAGTGAGTGAAAAAGGCACATTAAACTTGGCATCGATTCTGTTAACTGCGCCGCAAGGAAACATTACATAATACCACAAAGGGTAACACTTTTGCTGATTTAGAACTGAACAAGCAATTTAAGTTGCTACAGAAACCGAATGTCGTGGCAATAATAAGAAAAGGCTAGCCTTCCCCTGCCTCACACCAATGCTCGGAACTACTGAGTTTCGTGAGAGTGGGCTGCAATGAATGATATCTTCAGGCTTTCAAACAAAGCTTCTTCTATTCTTCCCAAGCATTGCTTTGTACTTTCACTAAGTTCTTTCAAAGTTACTCCATGTAAGACTTGTGCATGTGAAGCACAAATCTTCATCTAGACTAAGCTCTTCTCGAAGGAATTCATCTTTTTCAGTTAGTGCACTTCTTTCTTATCTTTAGCAGAGCTGAAAGTTCCTGAATTCTTTTTGTCCCTCCATTTTGCTAGTGGTACTGGTGCCCTGCCTGTCACTTTGAAGTCCCCCTTGTGCATTTTCCGCTTGTGAGCGGAGATTGCTGAAGCGGTCTCCGCTCATGGGTGCAAGCAGAATGAAATATTTTAAAAATAGTGGTATGCCAGAGAAGCGAACAAAGACGAGATAAGACCTTTAAATTGGCATATTAGGGGCAAAATAATTTTAAAAAAAATTGTGCTTTCTGAAGGGAATTAGAAAAAAGGCAGGGACACTTTAAGAGGCCCTACTGATTAGACACAAGTCCCAGCTAAATGTTGACGCAGAACTCATGTCCAGTCTGTGCTAAGTGCTACCTTGTTCGAGGTGATTACGAAAATCCAGCACTGGGGCTGCTTAAAGCTTGACTAGGCAGTGTTGGCAGGAGGTGAGGGGGGAGAGAGAAGTACACACTCGGGGGGGGGGGGGGGGGGGTGTAAAGGGGGAGGACAAGGCAGCAGGGTCAAAGCTGGGACTTGCAACAGCTAGAAAAACAAAATTGGTGTTTCACTCCCGCTGGAGTGAAACTTTGGTGCGGCTTTCTTTCGGAGATGACGACGAGAGTGTTTGCGTCGTCGAGGCACAAAATGTGCACCAAGTTCATTTCTACAGCACATTCGGTCACAAGTGCCTTTGCCACGACAGCGCAGGAACTGGAGTAAATTGTTTTGTATTTTGGGATATTTTAAATTATTTATATTTTTTAGAAAATTTTAAGTTCACAAATTTTTCATGCAGAAAAATTCTAAAGCATTGTATATGTAGTCTCTTTGCAATGCCACAAACTGGGATCTCACAATTTACTAAATAATTAGCCATCTCAAACCTTTTGTATGGATAACTGAAGCAGAATTATAGCTCAAGTGCAGTACAGCTGGTGACCACCTATAGGCTCACAGATCATTATTTATAGTGACCACACCCCGGTTTCTATCAGAGGTCATATGGAATTAATGGGGGATGTTTGCTTGCTCGCACGTTTTGATCTCGTCACTGGCTACAGTGTCGAGTACATGCATTGCGTGCTGCAGGGAGTGGCAAAGCAGGTGGCTGAACTGCTTTTCTCCTCGTCAAACTCAAACCAGCATTTCTACATAGGTACAGTACCTATCCGCCATACCTCTTGTGCTTAAGTTCTTCCGAGTTTTGCGAATGCTGACCAGACAAACTTCCTTCTGGTTTTGAATTGCAGGAACTGCGGCCACTTTGGCGAGGGTCAACGCTAGGCTTCTCTGCATAAAGCCTCCGCATTGCATCACCAGGCTTCCTCGGTCATTGTGTGAGCGGAGCTACTGGAAAGCATCGGAGTGGCGCCACTGGCTGCTCTTCTACATGCTCCCCTGCCGGCAGGGCATCCTTCCAGTAGACTACTGGAAGCTGCTTGCAAAGCTCTGTGAGGCTGTCCACATCCTTTTGAGGGACAGTATCGCTCTTCATGAGATCCAACAGGCAGGTAAGTTGGCACTCAGGAATAAGAGTAAAATTTCAAAAACTAATTATTTTTGCTTTGGACGACTATTATGCTAGGGAGTGTCTACATCCACGCCAGGGGACGTAGCCACGTCGGGAGGAGATAAGGCTCCATCCACGCACTACGTCACTTCCGGCGCACCACGTCACTTCCTGCGTGGACGGAGGCAGTTCTTTTTTTCTTGGTCGAGGAGTTTGGCCTTTTGTGTATTAGCACGGTCGCGCTTCTGATATGCCTCGAGTTTTGGTTGCCGGGGATTCGATGGTGAAATACTTGTCCCAGTATTTCTCTTCGAATAACCGGATGGCTGTCGAAGTGCGGGCGTTTAGTGGCATTAGGATCGAGGCTTTGTTTTCCAAGGTGTCTGACACAATGCTCGATTTTGGCCGTGCGTTACAAATACCGTCGGCTGGCCGCTCAGATCTTGGATTGCAGTCCGGCGATGCAAATCGTCTTTTCTTCCGTCCTTCCGAGGTGGGAGAATAAGTTTTCTTCGTTGGAGTGTCAGCGTAGTCAGAGTGCCGAAATCCAGGAGTTGAATGATCGACACGGAGACGTGAACTGGCTCCTGCAGGAGTTCTGCCGCAAGGAGGGCTTCGTGTTTATTGGTGATCACGTGGACGAGTGGCATCTGTGCATCGGCTACTGTTTTATTTGTCATAAAATAACCTGTTTCTGGAATCATTTACCCAGTTTTCTCGATTGAATGCTCTCATTATGTTTGTTATTACTTGGACTAATGCATGTTTTCCCTTCTCTCACAATCTTTGGGAGATTGCGAGCGTGCGCGCAAGTCAAGAACATACGGAGCGGTGGGCTCGCACTTGTCCCCTTTGATGCACATAAGCTCACACTAAAACGCCTCTAACCAAGCCAACTACACACACGACGAAGACCCACCAGCCTCACCGCCCCGCCTCAGCAGCGATGTACAGATGGGCTAAAGCCCCGGGGACCTTAGCCCATGTGTGCGTGTGTGCGTGCGGGCTCCCGCACGCATGCCGCCTACACACGTGTGTGACTCCTGGACAACATAACTATAAAGATATTTATTGATACTATTTTTTGACGCATGATATTTGCTATTAGTCTTAGAAAACAGTAAAAAAACTAATAAAGTGTTTAAGATTTCGTAAGGTCACGTGATATATTAACTTTAAAAACAACAATAAAATGTCACCTCTTTATTTTTATATCCCATATTTACTTATAAGAAAGCATAATATGTACATCAAAAGAAATTATGTGCTTATATTATAAGTCACATGACCTTTTGCGTGGATGGAGCCTTATCTCCTCCCGACTTGGCTACGTCCCCGCGCGTGGATGTAGCCTCGGCCATTATGCTACCAGTCATGGAATGCTAATAAAAGTGTTACTGCAGACAGAAGTTATGAAAGTGGTGAGAATAACAGAGGGGATGTTCATATGCATTGCAACAGTTGCCATGTAATGTCTATATTTCACAGTATATTGTCCCACTAGCTTCGGGCATTGCACGAAATAAGTAGGCTAATGGAAAAAATGTGAAGCAGCATATATCAATGGACAGGGAGGGCGATGATGTATTGGAGTAGTTTTCATCTGGTGACTGCAACCAGTGATGTAGAGCTGGAATGTTTGATATGTCTTTTAATCACCCAGGCACATAGCCACAGGGGAGGCCCATGGGGCCCGCCCCTCCCCCCCCCCCCCCCCCCAATATCTTCCATTTTGCGGAGACCTCCTCTTCTCCCTCCCCCTCATCCAGCATTTTGTCTGCCTCTTCAATTTTTTGTAATGCCCATGGCATCGCCGCCGAAATTCTGGTGAATATTTCTGTTTCCACTTGAGTGTTGCAACGCTTCCACCAAAATTTGATGCAATACCTATGTTCAAGCTGTTTGGCTGTTTTGCAGGAAAAAAAAATGACGAGCACCGATTACGATCATCTGGTGGGCTAGTTGGTTGGATCATTATGTGGAATTAACAACGCAAATACAAGGAAGGATAGTTGAGGGAGACATGATAGAGTGCAGACTAACAACTGACGTTTATCATCCCTTTTTTCTTGTATTTGTGCTGTTAATTCCACATAATGAGCACTGACAACACTTCCTCACTCAGAGGCTGATTGCCCGCAACTCACATTTTTTGCGGGCCTGATAAAATTCATGCCTGCACATTAATGTTCCCTCCACCTCCCCACCGGAGGACGCTGTCTGCACTTTATTTGTTTCCGTGGCACAAATTCAGACACATAAAAAAATGTTTGAAAAGCGGCAGAGGCTTTATTGCACGACGTTTCGGGAAGAGACTTTTCTTCCTTTCCAGCAGTCTGTGCCAGCAAAAATTTTGAAATGAAAGAATGGAGCATTAAGTTGCAGCATTTAGGCATGTGAAAATGTGCTCATAATGTCTGGGTACTCAACTTCGTTCTGTTTTCTGTTTTGTTTTTCAGAGCTGCTGCTCGAGACCTTCGTTGGCCGCAGCAAGACACTGTTTGGCGTGACCTCTGCCACATTTAATGTGCACCAGTTGCTACACCTATGCAACTGTGTCCGTCAGCTCGGCCCACTCTGGGCCCACTCTGCCTTCGCTTTCGAAGGGGGGAATGGCAGGATTGTGAAGCTCGTGTCAGCCGCGCGAGGACTCCCTGACCAGATTTTGGAGCGGGTCGTGATGGCTCAACAGGTTGAGTGTCTCCTGGCAACAGCGAAGTTGCCCGACAGGGAACAGGATGTGTGCACGAGGTTTCTCGGTTTCCCTCCTATTCAGAATGCAAGCCATGTGGAGGGAACATGTCTGCTTGGATGTGGAAGCGCTGTAAGCTTGAGTGCAGTGGAAAAGCGTGCTCTTGAGCAGCACTGTGATTTACCTTGCACCACTGGAACAGAGTATGAACGCTTCGTCTTTGACCGTAAGGTATTCCACAGTGCTGCCTACACTAGGCCAGAAAAAAGCAACACCACGGTCGTCTCCACACAAGATGGGGAGTACTACAAGATTGAAAAAATCATCCTGTTGTCACTTCCCGCCCAGACATGTGTCCTCCGCTGCCGTCCAATTGTCCTGATGGAGGAATCATGCATGCCACCGCACATCAAGGAATGTTTTCTTTCAGAAAGCGAGGCCCTGACCGTCCTACAGCCCAGTAGTATCAAGGACAGCTGCCTGTATATAGACTTTGTCAGTGAAAACAAGTCATTTGTGTGTGATCTACCAAACAGCATTGAGAGGGATTAGTTCAACTCGCTTTTGTGTAAATATGTTATTCTATGTAAATATCACATTTGGTTGACCCACTGTAGATAGGGGAATTTGATACTGTAAAGCATGTTGCAAAATGTTTTGCACGTGTTTGTTTTCTGTAGGAACGGTATACTCGAATGCAAAGACAAAATTTATTCTCAAGTACAAAGCACCACTAAGGTGGTACCAAAGGAGTCCTTTCAGTTGTTTCAAATTGTATAAACAGAAGAGAGCTGCATGTACATAAACTTTCCTTACAGAAAGAAACTTCATTTGTGATTTACTTCATGTCATGTAAAAAGGCTGCTATAATCACAGAAAAAAGCCAAGAGATATGCAAAGCAGAAATTACCATATAGACCAACGAGCACGTGTCCTTGCACACAAAATAAAAGAGGAGGAGGATAGTGATGGTGACACCCTGGGGGGTTTAATAGAATGTGACGATGCTGGGTCTCAATATTATGCTCTACAGAGAAGCGTGGAAACAACTATAAGTCAAGCATGACGACATTTAATGAAATGACACCGAGATAAAAACTTTCCTTGCGGTACAATTTCAAAAATAGTGGGTTGGTATTTCTATCAGTCTTTTCTGCCCTTATTCCTAAATAAAACTAGCTTTTTATCTGGAACAAAATCTTTAGCTTCGTTGACTTTTTGGATTGATGGCATGAAACCATTTCCCATTTTGATTCCGACGGGATTTTATACACAGGTTTAATATAATGGTGGAAGCATCTAGTAAAATTGTGGAAGGATTAGCTCACCTCAATAAAACAAAAAAATCGGACTATATATCTTCTCATGTATCACATGTAGACATAAATAAAAATTTGGGTCACTGTGGTATTTATTTTGGACAAATGAAGCGAATAATATCAGAAAATTGTTTCCTCTCCATTACACTTTTTTTTTCAGTCGTAATAAACACCAGAATAATATTTTGATGATTTGAAAAAGGGACGGCGAGAATTTTTCCAGGGACAAAAAATTGCGAGACATTTACGTTTCTCTGTAATGCGAAGTTAGAGCACAGCTCTTGAGGTGTTTTGATTTTCCTATATACTGTTGGTAAAGAATTTAATTGGGTATTTTTCTTCTACCTATAAATGGTGCATATATACACCAATTAATTAAAATAGGTAATCACGTGCCTCTATACCCTCCTGCTCCTCTTCTATACCTTCCTCTCCTCCTCTGGAAAATATTCAAATTTTTTTTTCTTCCTCCAGTTACGGCGACGGCGAGGCCGCGAAATGCGGGAATGGGCGCCTAAAAACTGCGCTATGAAACTTTTTTTATTTTTTTTTTGTCACTCCGAGAGTCGGTTTTCATACTTTCAGTTGATGAATCCACCACCTTCGGGCACCCCTGTAGTAAATCGTTGCATGATACGTTCCCAAGTTCATTTTTACGAGTCATCTTAAATACCCTGCAGATCAGCGAACACGAGAGCGGTCGTGTCCGTTCACGTCGTCTCCGAGTGGTCTCGTACCTGCTCTGGCTTAGACTTTTGCCTGTCGCAAAAAGCAAGTTGCCGGTGATCGCTGCCCACATTTTTGGATCGTTAAAACAGTTCGCTGCACGCACTTCTTGAGGGTTGCAACGTCGTCCCGAGCTAAAACTCGCACTCACGTCCCATAAATCTGTTCAAGCGCGTTCGCCAAACGCCGAATGCCGTAACGCCGTAACGCCGACGTTCGCAACGAGAATGCCGTTCGAGTGGTCTCGTACCTGCTCTGGCCCAGACTTTTGCCTGTCGCAAAAAGCAAGTTGCCGGTGATCGCTGCCCACCTTTTTGGATCGTTAAAACAGTTCGCTGCACGTACTTCTTGAGGATTGCAACGTCGTCCCGAGCTAAAACTCGCACTCACGAGAACGCCGCCCGAGTGGTCTCGTACCTGCTCTGGCCCAGACTTTTGCCTGTCGCAAAAAGCAAGTTGCCGGTGATCGCTGCCCACCTTTTTGGATCGTTAAAACAGTTCGCTGCACGTACTTCTTGAGGATTGCAACGTCGTCCCGAGCTAAAACTCGCACTCACGAGAACGCCGCCCGAGTGGTCTCATCCCTGCTCTGGCCCAGACTTTTGCCTGTCGCAAATAGCAAGTTGCCGGTGATCGCTGCCCACCTTTTTGGATCGTTAAAACAGTTCGCTGCACGTAGTTCTTGAGGATTGCAACGTCGTCCCGAGCTAAAACTCGCACTCACGAGAACGCCGCCCGAGTGGTCTCGTACCTGCTCTGGCCCAGACCTTTGCCTGTCGCAAAAAGCAAGTTGCCGGTGATCGCTGCCCACCTTTTTGGATCGTTAAAACAGTTCGCTGCACGCACTACTTGAGGGTTGCAACGTCGTCCCGAGCTAAAACTCGCACTCACGTCCCACAAAATCTGTTCAAGCGCGTTCCCCAAACGCCGAATGCCGTAACGCCGTAACGCCGACGTTCGCAACGAGAATGCCGCCCGAGTGGTCTCGTACCTGCTCTGGCCCAGACTTTTGCCTGTCGCAAATAGCAAGTTGCCGGTGATCGCTGCCCACCTTTTTGGATCGTTAAAACAGTTCGCTGCACGCACTACTTGAGGGTTGCAACGTCGTCCCGAGCTAAAACTCGCACTCACGTCCCACAAAATCTGTTCAAGCGCGTTACCCAAACGCCGAATGCCGTAACGCCGTAACGCCGACGTTCGCAACGAGAATGCCGCTCGAGTGGTCTCGTACCTGCTCTGGCCCAGACTTTTGCCTGTCGCAAATAGCAAGTTGCCGGTGATCGCTGCCCACCTTTTTGGATCGTTAAAACAGTTCGCTGCACGTACTTCTTGAGGATTGCAACGTCGTCCCGAGCTAAAACTCGCACTCACGAGAACGCCGCCCGAGTGGTCTCGTACCTGGTCTGGCCCAGACTTTTGCCTGTCGCAAAAAGCAAGTTGCCGGTGATCGCTGCCCACCTTTTTGGATCGTTAAAACAGTTCGCTGCACGTACTTCTTGAGGATTGCAACGTCGTCCCGAGCTAAAACTCGCACTCACGTCCCACAAAATCTGTTCAAGCGCGTTCCCCAAACGCCGAATGCCGTAACGCCGTAACGCCGACGTTCGCAACGAGAATGCCGTTCGAGTGGTCTCGTACCTGCTCTGGCCCAGACTTTTGCCTGTCGCAAATAGCAAGTTGCCGGTGATCGCTGCCCGCCTTTTTGGATCGTTAAAACAGTTCGCTGCACGCACTTCTTGAGGACTGCAACGTCGTCCCGAGCTAAAACTCGCACTCACGAGAACGCCGCCCGAGTGGTCTCGTACCTGCTCTGGCCCAGACTTTTGCCTGTCGCAAATAGCAAGTTGCCGGTGATCGCTGCCCACCTTTTTGGATCGTTAAAACAGTTCGCTGCACGTACTTCTTGAGGATTGCAACGTCGTCCCGAGCTAAAACTCGCACTCACGAGAACGCCGCCCGAGTGGTCTCGTACCTGCTCTGGCCCAGACTTTTGCCTGTCGCAAAAAGCAAGTTGCCGGTGATCGCTGCCCACCTTTTTGGATCGTTAAAACAGTTCGCTGCACGCACTGCTTGAGGGTTGCAACGTCGTCCCGAGCTAAAACTCGCACTCACGAGAACGCCGCCCGAGTGGTCTCGTACCTGCTCTGGCCCAGACTTTTGCCTGTCGCAAAAAGCAAGTTGCCGGTGATCGCTGCCCACCTTTTTGGATCGTTAAAACAGTTCGCTGCACGCACTACTTGAGGGTTGCAACGTCGTCCCGAGCTAAAACTCGCACTCACGAGAACGCCGCCCGAGTGGTCTCGTACCTGCTCTGGCCCAGACTTTTGCCTTTCGCAAAAAGCAAGTTGCCGGTGATCGCTGCCCACCTTTTTGGATCGTTAAAACAGTTCGCTGCACGCACTTCTTGAGGATTGCAACGTCGTCCCGAGCTAAAACTCGCACTCACGAGAACGCCGCCCGAGTGGTCTCGTACCTGCTCTGGCCCAGACTTTTGCCTGTCGCAAAAAGCAAGTTGCCGGTGATCGCTGCCCACCTTTTTGGATCGTTAAAACAGTTCGCTGCACGCACTACTTGAGGGTTGCAACGTCGTCCCGAGCTAAAACTCGCACTCACGAGAACGCCGCCCGAGTGGTCTCGTACCTGCTCTGGCCCAGACTTTTGCCTGTCGCAAAAAGCAAGTTGCCGGTGATCGCTGCCCACCTTTTTGGATCGTTAAAACAGTTCGCTGCACGTACTTCTTGAGGATTGCAACGTCGTCCCGAGCTAAAACTCGCACTCACGAGAACGCCGCCCGAGTGGTCTCGTACCTGCTCTGGCCCAGACTTTTGCCTGTCGCAAAAAGCAAGTTGCCGGTGATCGCTGCCCACCTTTTTGGATCGTTAAAACAGTTCGCTGCACGCACTACTTGAGGGTTGCAACGTCGTCCCGAGCTAAAACTCGCACTCACGAGAACGCCGCCCGAGTGGTCTCGTACCTGCTCTGGCCCAGACTTTTGCCTGTCGCAAAAAGCAAGTTGCCGGTGATCGCTGCCCACCTTTTTGGATCGTTAAAACAGTTCGCTGCACGCACTACTTGAGGGTTGCAACGTCGTCCCGAGCTAAAACTCGCACTCACGAGAACGCCGCCCGAGTGGTCTCGTACCTGCTCTGGCCCAGACTTTTGCCTGTCGCAAAAAGCAAGTTGCCGGTGATCGCTGCCCACCTTTTTGGATCGTTAAAACAGTTCGCTGCACGCACTACTTGAGGGTTGCAACGTCGTCCCGAGCTAAAACTCGCACTCACGAGAACGCCGCCCGAGTGGTCTCGTACCTGCTCTGGCCCAGACTTTTGCCTGTCGCAAAAAGCAAGTTGCCGGTGATCGCTGCCCACCTTTTTGGATCGTTAAAACAGTTCGCTGCACGTACTTCTTGAGGATTGCAATGTCGTCCCGAGCTAAAACTCGCACTCACGAGAACGCCGCCCGAGTGGTCTCGTACCTGCTCTGGCCCAGACTTTTGCCTGTCGCAAA